GATCCTAGGGGTCTATAGAACACATCCAGCTGAAACCCTCTTCTACAGTAGGCTTTCAGTTATTCAAAGACTGCCCTCAATTTTTTCACTGAAATGTTGTCAGTCATTCTCAGGATAAACATCACTTGTTTCTTTAACCAGTCCTCACTCATTGTGGTTCTCAGTTCCTTCATAATCCAGCAGTCATGGAAGGAAATGGGAGAAATGGAGAGAGGGCTTTCAAGTCACTGAATGGAAGTTGGGCTTCCAGTACCAAGGACTTTGGGAAGCAGGTCACACCCTTTCAAGGAGTACATTATAAATGCAGTAATTCACACAAGCATTAGACATTACCTCATATATGGACTAAGTTTTTGTGGCTAGAGGACTCACTGGTATATTCATGGGGAAGTGAATGCTTTTGTGAGTGAGCTTCTTATCCTGCAGAAATGCTTTCGGACCACATCAGGGTGCATCACATTGACTGTCTCATGTTATTTCTCAAAATAGTCATAGATTCCGTGTGGTTAAATCACTCATTTTGAAAGCAAAGCCAAGTTTTTTTTCAATGACCGTATTTGACCATATGGTCATATTTCCTATGACCAATATGACTATATTAATCCACATTTCCTGCGACCACAGGAATACCTCAGGGAATCACTAGACAAGTAAATTATGGTTTTGACAAGTATCCACTGATACAGAATAATTGAATGCTGAGCTGGTCAGGGCTTTAAAAAGTCACCTATTGCAATGCTGATAATTTGCAAAGAAAGGGCTGAGAAGTCTAGTGATTATGTAACCTGCCCAAAGTCGCAAACAGTGGTTAAGTAACCGCATTGGGACTCATAACTCCATATCTTGAATTATAGAGCAGAGCTCTCTATCCTAAAGCAATGTTAGAGGCACTCTGTTTAATTATAATAATAAAAAGTAATTTTTTATGCAGACTGGGTCTCACTGTGTTGGCCAGTGAGAACTCCTGGCCTTTAATGATTCACCCACTTTGGCCTTCCAAATTGCTGGGATTACAGGCAAGAACCACCCCACACCTTGCCTTTGGAGGGACTCTTGCTTCGTGTGTTCGGGCTGATCTTCCAGTGTAGTCAGTAAGATGTTCCTGCAGTGTACTTTCGGATCTTTCTGCACAAATTCAGTGAATTCTGTGATTTTTCATGTAATAAAATGTATTACAAATAAATTTGCAATGAATAAGCTAGACAATTAATTCACAGTAACTTATGGCCTAGAAAATTTCATTACTTTATCCACACATGTTTATAAGGAGATGATTGAAGAAGTAGTCAAAATATGCAGATTCCTAATCATCCCCAAGAAGAAGGGAGCCACTGAAAGGCAACCTGGGAGGGTGTGTGGGGTTGTTCTGAGGTTGTGAAAGCCACTGAAATTCACACATAAGGGTATAGAAAAAGGGAATCCACATCTTTTGAGTACCCTCATGTGCTGGGTATAACTTGGTTTTTGTTAACATGATGCACCACTTTTGGAGTCATTACTATACGATCGTGAATGCGTTTTTAACTCCTCTGAGTCTCAGTTTTCTCACCTATAAAAGATGGGGTTGTTATGAGGCTTACATACGGTACATGTGTAAAAATCTAGACACAATGCCTGTAATTTTGTAAGTGTTCAATATATGGAGGAAGGAGTATTATATTTCCCTCATTTAATTTTTCGAGCAAGTTTATAAAATTTGTGGTGTTCATATTTTTTAAGATAAACCAAGGATGAGAAAGATTACATAAATCAGCCTGGGCGAGAGTGAGACCCTATCTTTAATATATATATATCTCCTATAAATAGTTAGTTTTAAGATTATAGATAAAAATATCGCCAAAATTTAGATATTTGTTCTGAATTAATCAGTGTGCCTGCTAGATGATTTAAGTTAAAATTTTGCATCTGATACTTGCTTTAGTTGTCTAAAAATTCATTCCCTCAGACTTGATCCTTCTAGATAAGCAGAAGTCTAACTCTAGGCGTTGTTCTTTGTCTGGAGCTGTGCACCTAGTACATGATTAAAAGTGCTTACCTGTCTGACCACAGTGGGTCACGCCTGTAATCCCAGCACTGTGAGAGGCCAAGGTGGGTGGATCACCTGAGGTCGGGAGTTCTACACCAGTCTGACCAACATGGAGAAACTGTGTGTGTACTAAAAATACAAAAATAGCTGGGCATGGTGGTGCATGTCTTTAATCCCAGCTACTCGGGAGACTGAGGCAGGAGAATCGCTTGAACCCACGAGGTGGAGGTTACGGTGAGCCGAGATCGTGCTTTTGCACTCCAGCCTGGACAGAATAGTGACCCTCCATCTAAAGAAAAAAAAAAAATTATAATCACATTTAAAATCTTACTATATGGTGATTTTCTCTCCTCCCCTCTCCTTCCTTCCCCTCCCGCCCTTCTCTTTTCTTTCCTTCTTTCCTTCCTTCCTTCTTTTCCCTCCCTCCCTCCCTCCCTCCCTTCCTTCCTTCCTTCCTTCCTTTCCAGGTAGTATCTTGTTCTGTCACCCAGGCTGGAGTGCAGTGGTGCGATCTTGGCTCACTGCAATCTCTGGTCAAGCGATTCTCCTGCCTCAGCTCCCGAGTAGCTGGAACTACATGCGTGTGCCAACACACCCGGCCTTTTTTTTTTTTTTTTTTTTTTTTTTTTTTTGTATTTTTAGTAGGGACGGGGTTTCACCGTGTTACCTAGGATGGATTCGATCTCCTGACCTTGTGACCTGCCCTCCTCAGTCTCCCAAAGTGTTAGGATTACAGATGTGAACCACCGCACCTGGCCTGGTTTTCTTTTACATAACCTTCTTCCTTTGTTGAAACGGTAAGATCTTTCTCACAGCTGAGAAACCTGAATTCTCCAGGCAGCCAGCAATGAATGAAAGGTGAGGGCGGGGCTACCAGCAGGGCGGGGCTTGGGGTGCCTAGGCTCCCACCTCACAATGGGGGCCGGGGGCACGTGGAGGGTGCTCTGGGCCTGATTGGTTCCTGGGAACCAGGAGGGAGATCTGGCGGTTGGCAGGGCAACCTCCTTCAGTTGGTGGGAAAGAGTGGAAGGAGGAGGAGGAGCTCCTCTGTGCTCTCTTCTCCCGCAATCACAGCTATTAGGCTTGTAGCATCTAGACTCATTCTGAATAAACCAAGCGGGTTCCCAAGGGACCCTTGCAGACAAGTCAGCTCAGGGGAGGCGGTTGAGGCGGGGTGCGGGCTGCTAGTGGGGTGTAGCCCCATAGCCAGGGGCTGGCCCTGCCAGCGTGCCTTTGCTAGGAAGAAGTGGAAGTGCTGAGCTCTGCACACTTGGAAGCAAAGGAAGGCCCAAGCTGCTGGAGAGGAGCGGAGCTACCCCATGGGGAACACGCTGAGCTGTTGCTTGGGCACTAAGGCCAGCCCCAAGCGGGGCCAGCGCAGGAGGTCTGGGGCGCTGTACTGCAGCGCTGACATCTATGAGGCAGCATCAAGCATAGGTGTAGGCCAAGGCAGAGAGGAGCACAGGCGCTGCAGATGGAACCTGCTGCTCCCTAATGCCAGCCCCAAGCAAAACCAGCGCAGGGTGCGGTGGGCAGAACCACCCTGCAGCTATAACATCACGGAGCCGGAGGTGGCAGTAGCTCCACACCATACCGCTGTGGAACCTGCACAGCCGGATTTGGGAGCCGGCCAGGGCCATGACCTGCAACACATCAGTGACCAGGAAATGCCCAAAGGTAAGGAGGCAACTGATACTGTTTACCCTCAGGCTCGCCTCTGGCCACCGCTGACACAAGGTCCCCCACTAGAGGCATCCACAGTCTCGGGTTCCTCACTCCTGCCCCTAGCCAGCTTGCCCAGGCCCAGGCACCAGGCAGGAGGACTGGATCTGCCTCGTGCCTATCCACTCCCACCATTTTTTTCCCCTGCTGCATTGGGTGGTTTCTCTCCTCCTCCCTACCCCAGTGCCCAGTTGTGGCCCTTTCTCATCCCCCAAGGCTAGGCAGAAACTAAGTTTTCAAAATAGAAAATGTGTGCTACAGATTTCATTCCTATAGAGGAAGTGTCTTACAGCTCTTCTCTTTAAACTTTGGCCTTTTAATTTATTTAAACAATAGAATAATTAAGCTTCACGATGAGTGTGACTTTGTAGCTGGAAAGTACTGTACTCTCAGAATATTCAAAAATCGTGAAAGAATGAACAAAGATAGAATGTGAATGAATTGTACCTTTATACACAAAGCGTGCATAATGCTTGTGAATGTTCCTTGTTTGGTGTTGTAAGGTAAGCCACTCAGTGGTTTTACATGCTAGGTAGTAGATGGGTAGTGTTGGATGAGAGTCCAAAATAGACTATATCGTTCTTTAGGATTTATAGCACATTTCCATGTATGTCTCATTTCATCATGTCTCTACAAAAAAAAATGGTTAATACTTAGCCAGGTATGGTGGCTTGCACCCATACTCTCAGCTGCAAGAGGATCTCTTGAGCCCAGGAGTGTGAAGCTTCAGTGAGCTGTGCTGGTTGCATCGCACCATTGCACCACGCCAGCCAGGGCAACAGAGTGAGACCCTGTCTCTTTAAAAAATTGTTTTTTGTACAAAACAGCTCTTTGTTTTAACATATTTGACATATTGAGCCGGTGTCTGACAGTAATTGACCACAGCATCACTTGCTGCTTGAGACTTTCCCTGAAATGTGCTGGTAATAGCAGCATAGAGGAGGGTGGGTATATTTGATAAGAAGAAGGAGGAGGGCATGTGTATGATTCATCTATAAGTTGCATCAGTTATACTTAAGTGCAAGTGTTAAAAAGAAGTCCCAGACACAGCCTAGTTTTATTCCACATATGTGGAGAACTTCTGTGATTTTTGCATTCTCCAGTAGAATTGGGACATTGTGGCCTTTATTTTCTTTACATTTATTACTAAACCTTTTCTCAAGACTGTTAAAAGTGATTAAAATGGATGGGTAGCTTTAAAAAGCATCTTTTCTATTCACTTAAATTATTACATTTTTCCTTCTTCCTCTACAGATTTTGGTTCTGACCATCCAAGGGAAAGCACACTCTTCCTGAGAAAATATCAAATCAGTGGTAAGACAATATTGCTTCTTCCTCCAAGCAAAAAACTACAAACTTCCTGTTTTGTGTATTACAGAAAGTATTTAGAGGAACTCAGATAGTAGTTAAAATTTTTCAACTTTTCATATATTTACTTGTCTTATTTTAATATGTGACATAATTTCCTTTAGTTGACACTGTTCATGGAAACATTCAGACTTTGTGTTTACATATTTGCTGACATTTTTTCAATGCAATTAACTGGCCACATGATTTAGTGTAGTAGTCATGGATTTATGCCTTTTTCTTCATAGGTCTTTGCCATTTTTCCCTTGCTCCAAAAAGTACATTTTAATGATGAGTGATAGGATTTAGGGTACAGCTTGGATTTCGCTTGAACAAGTCAAAAGAATTTGTTGTTCTAGATTGGATCTGTGATGTTGGCCTCCTTTTTGCAGAATACTCTAACCACACGAGCCTATCACATCCATGTTCATGCTACTCAGAGCTTTTTCATTCGAATGTAATGGAAATGTAACCATGGCCTGTGCTGTTATCCAGGTTAGCCTTAGTGTGTGAAAGTAGTGTAAAGTTTCCACATCCTGCTTATTTTAGGAAGAGAATTAGAACTGTAGGAGTTTTCTGTACTCCTGCTTATTTTTTGTAACATTCTGTTAAACCTTACTTTATTTTCAAAAAAGCTATACACCATGTTTTTCAGTTATTTTCAACAGCAAGAATACAAGAAGTGGGGGTTCTATAATAACATCTGAAGGAATGCTGCACAATAAAAAATGGGTTTCTCCCCGGCATTTTCATAGTTTGTGTGGACTTTGCCTGTCTTGAGCTGGTAACTTCCGGTTAGGATTGTTGTATTTCTCAGTTTCTTCCAGAGCCATGGGCTTCTCACACATGGAGTGTATGGAAGTGGAAGAAAACCCACCCCATGTCCCCGTCTCTTCAGCAGTGAGAAATGTGTGTCCGTGAGACCAGTTCAACTTCAAAGGAGGAGGCGTTGTAGGGAACAAAGCGTGGCCCAATTCCCCCTTGTAGCTTTTATTCTTCTGACCTGTGTTAGAACAAAATGGTTTTGTGCGCTGAGGATGCCGTGTTCAATTAGGTTGACACGCTCATTTTAACATTTGATTTTAAGATAGGCTACTTTTCAGTTGTGTAAAGACCGATTTATTTTTTCAGTAACATATTAATAGATGCCCAATAATTCATTTGGGATCTTGCAGGGATTCTAGTGCATCTGGAGATTGGCTCCTGATCAGAAACTGGTTCTTAGAGCTGTCAGCTATTAGATCCTGGTGATGAAAGTAAGCTATGTGTAAATGTAGAATCAGAAAACAGTACTACTTAAGAGTTCAGATATACAAAGGTAAATTTTTTATTAGCTAAATTTCTCATCTCTCCTGTATTTTGGCAGTATTTTGTCCTGTATTTTTATTAGCTAAATTTCTCATCTGTCCTGTATTTCTATGAAGGAATACCTGAGACTGGATAATTTATAAAGAAAAGAGGCTTTATTGGCTCACAGTTGTACAGGCTGTACAGGAAGTGTGGTGCTAGCATCTGCTTCTGGCAATTGCTTCAATAACCTAATAATCATGGTGGAAGGTGAAGTCATCTCTCACATGGTGAGAGAAGGAGCAAGAGAGAGTGGGAGGTGCCGCCTGCTTTTAAACCAGCAGATCAGGCCAGGTGTGGTGGCTCACGCCTGTAACCCCAGCACTTTGGGAGGTTGAGGCAGGGAGATCACTTGAGGCCAGAGTCTGAGACCAGCCTTGGCCAACATAGTGAGACCCCGTCTCTAGAAAAAATTTAAAAATTAGCCAGGTGTGGTGGTGCATGCTTGCAGCCCCAGCTGCTCCACAGGCTAAGGTGGGAGGATCACTTGAGCCCAGGAGGTCAAGGTTGCAGTGAACCATAATCACATCACTGTACTCCCGCCTGGGCATCAGAGTGAGACCCCATTGCAGAACAACAACAACAACAACAACAAAAACCCAAGAAGATTATGCATGAACTCAGAGCAGGAACTCATTCATCACCAAGGGGGTGGCGCTAAGCCATTCATGAGGGATCTGCCCCCGTGATCCAACCACCTCCCCACCTCCAACACTGGGGGCTACATTTCAACATGAGATTTGGGGTGCACACGTTACCTAATTTGTTTTGCCTTTCCTTGTGTACGTGGGGATTCTTTCAGTTTTTTGTAATAGAATTTCTGTTAGGTCAAAAATAAAACTATATTTTTAGATTTTACTTTATGAGATTCATCATGCCAGATTATTTAAATTATAAATTTTGTTGGTAAGAATTTTATAAACAGAATTTTATCTTTTTTATAGTGATAATCAGATGATTAGTAACTACTTTTTTATTCTATGGTGTTTATACCAGAATTGATTAGTTATTTTTTCATTCTTAGTGCAAGAAAAGAGGAGGAGCTCTCACCTATATTATGTAAGTAAGCTTTTGAAAAGTTAAGAAATTGTTTGAATTAAAAGTCTATCTGTCATGATTCCTTAAAAATTTAACAGGGAGTCAGTGCTATTAGTGTGATCCTTTTTTGGTGGATTTTCTAAATCTCTTGTATTTTCCTAAGTATCAGATTCATACAGGAAAGTAGTTTACTGTGCCCATTTTTAAGGGTGTCTGACATTTAAGTTACACAATTAGGTTGTGATGAAAATATCTCCCTTAAATATTTAATCTTTTGTATTCAAATAAAATTAAAAATAGCTAAGTCTGCTTTCTTCAACACTTTCTGCTGACTTCCTGTCATAGCAGGTGAAAGCGTAGCTTCCTCACTCCACTGTGGTCTTATTTCCCTCCCCGTTTCTTCCACCTGTAACACATTTTTTATTATATCGCTAATTGTTATTTACATGATTATGACTATGAACATATTATTCACAGCTGAGTCATATAGTATTCTGAATGTGCCTCCTCCTTGTACATCCTTCATTGTTTCTCTTAAATATTTCTGAGATCTGAGCACTTCTGCACTTCCCCAGATAACCCCCTTTTTCCTAGCCCACGATAGCTCATAAAGCCAAATGCTACCATTAGCCCCCAACTGGCCTCTTTGCTTTTACATCCTTTGTTATTTTGTGTGTGGAATTAATTTTCTGACTATGTTCCTCTGCCTTTTTTTTGACAGTTACTCTTCCCCAAGTGTTGTAACATTGGTCACATGCCTATCAAAAATAATGTTTTATCTACTAAAACATCTGTTCCATGTTTTTTCTTGAAGCAACTTTCCTTGGCCTTTGGTTATCCTCCTCCAGTGTTTCCCTCGGCTGCCCTGAGCCTGTCTGCCGGGGAGCCCTCTCTGAACTCTTCTGCGACCACTCTTGTTGGATCCCTGAGTGCTAGACTGTGCCTTGCCCTCTGTCTTGTGTTACTTCCCAGTGGTGCTGGAGCACGGTTTCCAAGGAAAGACTCACGAACACACATGTATAGAGATCTAACCTCTCTCAAAACCCCTCCTTTGTTATAGAGTATAAAATTCTAGAGTGAAAACTAAATTTCATGCCTCTGAAGACATTTCTCTATTGTGTTTTCATTATATTGTTCTTGAAGCTATTGCCATTGTGTGATACGTAATATGTAACCAATTTTTACATTTCTCAAGCTTTTTAGGACCTTCTCTATTCCTGGGATTCTGAAATTGTATAATGTAGCTTTGCGGGGACCTTTTATTTTATTGTGGCCATTCAGCCTGCAGACTGTCTCTGTTAGAGAATTGTCCTATTTTCTCTGTTTTATTATTATTATTTTAGTATTCTTATGATTCAGATGTTGCACCTCCTAGACAGTATTTCTGCATTGATCTTTAATTTCTTCCCCTCCTATTTTCCCATTTGTCTTTTGTTATGCTTCTTAGAGATTCTTTGACTTTCTGTGCTAACCCTTTGATTGAATTTTTTAAATCTCCTTAAGGGTATTTCAAGATTTTTTTTAAAAGTTTTGCTCCTGAATTTTTACTGGTCCCAGGAATTCCTTTTTCCTGTTGTTTTCATCTCTCATTGGAGGCTTCCCTCAGATGTGTGGTGGTCTTTGGCTTTCTCTATTTGGAAGCAGGAACTTTGTTCACTGAGGGGTCTCATTGTGGGGATTTGGAGGTCAAGCCAGCTTTTCTTTTGGGGGACCTCAGTGTATTATATGAGGGTATGAGGGTATTTTCTTTGCAACGGTTCAGTTTTCTTCCAAGAAGGATCTCCCAATTTTCTGCCTTAGCAGTGCAAGAATGGCTGCTGGCTTTCCAGAAGCAGGGTTGAGAAGGAAGGTGGCGTTTCCCTTTGTATGTGCAATTTAATCCCATTTCGCAGGTTTCAGCCCTTGTAGCTCTAAGCCCAGAAACCCTCAGGTATAATATATGCAGAGAATACACATCAAAATTCCTTAAAAGATGGGAGGAGAGGTGGACTTGGGTCTCTAGGCACAGATTTACAGTTGACCTTGCTGGCTTCTGTTGTATGTTTCACCCTACCTTCCCAGGTACCATGTGCCTCTGATTTTGGAGCCTGGGTTGGGTTCTTCAAAACAAACAAGATTGCTTGTTTCTGTTCTGGTCACTCCCCGTCAGCTCCAAAGTTGTGCTTCCATGTCAGTTGCCACTCCTCTGTCTGCTTTTCACCTTGCAGCATTGACTCAGAATCATCTGCCATCAATGCTGTCTCCTGGTCCTGTGTATAATGTTTATTTTATGACTAATACTAATGAGATTTCAGAAAGAAGAGAAAATAAATGCCTGGTAAATCCATCGTATTTAATCCAAATTTAGAACCCATATATAAGTGTAAATCTAAGTTGAAATTCAGTATGATTATGACATTGATTCAGACAATTTCTGTTTATACCTACAATAAGCATATTACACTTTTCCACTCAGGCTTTGTGTAAGAATTCTATTCAAACTCCATACATGCCATGTGGTCCCATTGCTGTGCAGCATAGATGGAGCTGTTTTCGTTAGTATACAAAGCGTTAGAAATTTTTAAGTTAGCTAAAAGTCATTAATTATTTAAAAACTATCTGAAATGTCTTGTAAAAAAATAGGGAGAAAAAAGCGATCTTGAGAGCTGGGCATGGTGAACTCACGCCTGTATCACAGCACTTTGAGAGGCTGAGACAGGTGGATCACTTAAGGCCAGGAGTTCAAGATCAGCCTGGCCAACATGGTGAAACCCTGTCTCTACTAAAAACACAAAACATAGCCCAGCGTGGTGGCACGCGCTTGTATTTCCAGCTACAGCTACACAGGAGGCCGAGGCAGGAGAATTGGTTGAACTTGGGAGGTGGAGGTTTCAGTGAGCTGAGTTCAGGCCATTGCACTTCAGGGTGAAAAATAGAGCAAGACTTCCATATATGTGTGTGTGTGTGTGTGTGTGTGTGTGTGTGTATATATGTGTGTGTGTGTATATATATATGTATATATATTTTCATTATATGAAATTTTAAATAGAACAAAATGGGGACAGATATCACCTAACACTGTACCAACTAGTCTGTGTTTTGGTGCATTTTTTTTCTGTTCTTTTTATTCTCATATATGGATTTTTCCTCAGAAACAAGTTTTGTTATGGTGTAGTATTATGCAGTATTACCCCTAATAGTAATGACCTTAAGGGATACCTTCTTTCACTTTGAATAGAAGTATCCGAATGAGTCCATTTTCATTTTTCATGCTATATTTGTTTTTTGAGTCAATAAAAGTATATACATTGACCCACATACACTGTTAATGTAAAGTATACACGTTAATAGAGTCGCTTAAGAGACATAAGAGTTTAGTTCTACCTTGAAGGAGAATTTGGTCCTTCAAATAGTACTGTTGTTCAAAAACGTCTGGAATTTTTGTTAAGAAGTAACTGAATTTACAGTAAAAAGCATCTGAAACAAGCAAAATGGTGTTAGATTGCATGGATATTTCTGATTATTGGCTACAGGCATTTTTAAAATACTGTCTACTTTTATAAACAACCACTAGATCTTCTCCCTTCCCTGTCTTTCATGTACTTGTGGGAGACCCTGACGGAAGAGGGTGATAACATGATGCAGACAAGCGTATCCCACCAGGAGGGAAGAAGGCTCATCTGAGTTATTTTTTTAAAGCTAAAATAATTGGTATTTTGCAGTTTTAAATAATGCTGTTGATCTCTTCAACTATTTGGTGACTAGGATTTGGTTACTGCTGTTATTTTTAAGAAAGAGCATTTCTTTGTCTTGCTCTGTTGCGCAGGCTGGAATGCAGTGGCATGATCTCAGCTCACTGCAACCTCTGCTTCCTGGGATCAAGCAATTCTCTGCCTCAGCCTCCTGAGTAGCTAGGATTACAGGCATGCCTGCCACCACACCCAGCTAATTTTTTTATTTTTAGTAGAGATGGGGTTTCACCATCTTGGCCAGGCTGGTCTTCAACTCCAGACCTCATGATCCACCTGCCTTAGCCTCCCAAAGTGCTGGGATTACCGGAGTGAGCCACCGTGCCCGGCCAGGAAGAGCATTTTTTAAAGCGTTGATGAGGCAGTTTCCATATTGACTACTGCACTCTCAACAAATGAACAGATACTTTTAAAGTGTTTTAGAGATAGTTTATTTTCTAGAGGGCTCAAAAAGTTCACTGTCATCTCTCTGATAGCACTGCAGATAGATTTTCACCAATTTGTAACTGTGGGAAGATTTACCTTCCAAATTGTAATTGATACAAATAACTTGTCAAGCGCTTATTGAACTCCTTAATTTCTCCCACATCCTGCGCTCAGCAGCTGCAGGTAGGAGAGGAAGGGCCCTCCCTCCCCTGGAGAGGCTTACTTTCTCACCAGGAGGATGCTCTGCAGGCAATTGCTATCATGTAACACTCGGTGCATTAGACTAAGAAGTACACAAAACTGGAAATGTTTTGTGGTGCGGCTGCTGGCAGAGGGATCCCAGAAGGCAGAGGAGGTGCAGCTTGCTGGGACAAGGGGGAAAGAAATAGGTATTCTGGGCAGAGAGCAGCATGAGTGGGGCAAGAAAGTACCATGATATGTGTCAGATAACTTACAGAATAAAATCAATAAACTTTTGAAATGAATGCAAAGTATTCTCGGAAGTTCTCATTTGAGTAATGTAATAGCAGTCTTATGTAGTGAAACTTAAATTCCCGAAGTTGTTTCCATCTGATTTTCAGATGTGAGGGAGTCTTAAAGCAGTAGTTTTTCTATCTTCCCCCAAGGAAACAGGCCCAGAGAAACCTATGTCCCTTCACTTGTTTGGTCACTGAGCCGCCCTGGTGCACAGAGTTTCTGACACTAAAATGCTGGTTCCATCACACTGTCTCTTGAATGAGTACACTTGTTATTAGTATCTTAGTGAATATAGTATGAGGTCTTTATTTGCTGCAATAAAAATGCTCTTGTGTCAATATTATTTAATGCACGACATTTTGTTTTAGTTAATGAATAATAGAAATAGAAAATCTCAGCTGCTTTTTACTGCATAGTTAAAAAAAAAAAAAACCTGAAATCTTATTTTAAACTTTTCCCATTATTTATAAAGGGAATTCATAATAGAGGCTTGCCAGGTTTGATGATTGGTATCATAGCAATGTCAGCATTTTATAAACCATTCCTCGAACATCATCTGCGGAAATTAAGCACCTCCAATGAGTTTCCCATAGAGCTGCTCATGATACCACACTGAGGCAGGTCACGGGGCATAAGAAATACCTTAATGCTTTATTGTTTGACATTTTGACTAAGGAAAACAGCCCACACTTTTGCAGGTTCAGCCTACTGTGACATTTTTCTTTATGTTCCTTCTCCTTCAGATACCTCCATGGCATCTTGATAGAAAATACAGCTCATGTTCCACCATATTGCTAGATAACAGCACAGTCAGCCAGCCTGATCTTAGATATGCATTAGAAAGGTGAGTTCAATGAGACTGCCAAGGGCTGAGTGACAGACCCCACTATGCTAAAAGCATCCCAGCCATCCTCTGTCATTTCATCCGTTTGGTTGTCCTTTTCAGCAAGCAGTTTAAGAAATTGATGTCAATGATATATGGATTTCCAGGACCTCAATATGAATTTTCTGCTTCTCTTTTAACCTTAGATGCTGTGTGGTAGAAGGGAAAGCCAGATAGCAAATAAGCAATCCCAGAAAAAGCATAACTCTTCATTTGATGCATTTATGTTATGACAGTGTTGAACCTAATGGGAAGGAGAGGTGCTTTTTACTGGATGTTTCTGGGAAAAAGTATTACTTCTTTATGGGCTACAGGCCTAAGACCAAGGGTACTACTTTGGAAACTACTCTTGGAAGACGGAACGGCTTGTCCTCCAGTGGTGCACAGTGTATCTGCATTTAAATTTTCCCATCATGCATGAGCACTTCATAGGCCACAATCAGACATGCCTTTTCAAAGCACCCTCGAACGATGGGTTCAAGTTTATTTAAAAAGCCACAACAAAGCCCGGTTCCATTGGATGTGTCCAGGGAATATTATTAACATCTCCTTAGATTATGAGTGTTGATTTTGGGAAAACAGTTTGAGAACTTAGCATGTTAATGTCCTTATTCCTAACTTAACTTTCCAGGCCATAAACATGACTAACTTACGGGCTTAATTTTGTTTCTAATGTACTAGCTTTTTAAGCTCATTTGTCAGTAACTTCTCCTTTAACTAATAATGGCAAATTTACACTCATAATAATGTCACTTTCTTCTCTCCTGTGTAACAGTTACTGAGATCAGATTGTGTTTCAGCAGGAACTGGACTCCACCTGTGTCTAAAGCCCTGAGTTTTGGCCTCTGTGGAGTCATCACTTAATGTTTGTATTCAATCCTAAGTAAAAAGCCACTCTCTTTTGACTAGAGTCCCTGGTTTGTTCTGATTTCAAAAGATTCTGATGTTTCTGTATGCCATTCAAAAGGAGTTTTTAAGCTTCACTTTGCTCAAACAAGTAGAGGTTCTGCTTTTTCTTCCAGCATAGTCTAATTCTTACAAGTTTTTTTAGATAGAATTTTTTTTCTTTTTTAGAGATGGGGTTTTGCTGTGTTGACCAGGCTGGTTTCAAACTCCCGGGCTCAAGCAATCCACCCTACTCAGCCTCCCAAAGTGCTATGGTTACAGGCACGAGCTACCGTGCCTGGCCTAGAAGTCTATTTTTGAAATACAGTTAGTTTTAATTTGCTCTCAAAATTTAGAAGGGATCATTTAGTATATTTACCTTGATGAAATAAAGATTTACTGAGCAAATTAATACAGCAAATTGGCTTTTGGAAAGATTTTGAAAGATGTTTTTCATGATTAGTAGTCCATTGTTCTCCAAGGGATGGGTGAGCCATATTATAATCACTTATATATGTTTCTTCAAAATATGTGTCTGCAAACAAATGCATCTTCCCAGCTCCACATTTTCTTCATCTCTGGGCACTCACAAGCCTTTTAGAAAAATGGTTAACTCTGTGACGTATCATTATATGGATAAAAGCATCCCAGATGATTCTGACCTTAACCCTAATTCAATCATTCCCAAACTTCGTTGCACATTGGAATCACCTGGGGAACTTTACCAACAACCCTGATGCCCGAATCATGTCCAACGCCAACTAAATCACAATGTCTCCAGCTGGTGGTGAGGCCGTTTCTAAAGCTCCTCGGGTGGTCCGGTGGGCAGCAAACGTGGGGGCCACTGCTTCCTTTGTGCGGAGGAGTGATGGTTCTAACATAAATTACACGTTTTCCCTGTCATTTGCTCTTCTTTCTACCCCTAGAGCCTTTCGTCTGTGCAAGTCATTTCTGTGTATGTGTGCGTATGCTTAAATTGAAACCATACCATAGTGTTTTGTGAACACCTGCAGTTCACAAAAGCACTATGTGGGGACCTTGGGCAAATCAGTTTGAAGGCTTGGTTCTCTTATTTGTAAAATGGGTGATAATTCATGGAGTGTCATGTAAGGTTCAGTGGTCTTTTCAGCATGTAACTTCAAATTCTGTGATTTTGAAATCAATTTGGAGCTGAAACTTTTTTTTTTTTTTTTGAGACGGAGTCTCACTCTGTCACCCAGGCTGGAGTACAGTGGCTGGATCTCAGCTCACTGCAAGCTCCGCCTCCCGGCCTTCCGGGTTCACGCCATTCTCCTGCCTCAGCCTCCCGAGTAGCTGGGACTATAGGCGCCTGCCACCTCGCCTGGCTAGTTTTTTGTATTTTTTTATTAGAGACGGGGTTTCACCGTGTTAGCCAGGATGGTCTCAATCTCCTGACCTCGTGATCCGCCCATCTCAGCCTCCCAAAGTGCTGGGATTACAGGCTTGAGCCACCGCGCCCGGCCGGAGATGAAACTGTTTGAGGCACTATAGAAATATCCATCTTAGATGCTAATAATGTTGTATGGCCTACTTTTTACAACTCGAATTTGCCTTCTCAGATTGTTCTGAGCTTCATTTTAAATGCTGGGGGCAAATGGCAGCACAGAACTTATCCAAGAGAAGCTCCTGTTTGCTGACATACAACATCTGAGGATGACTTAGGACCACAGTAACATACATCTGAAGAGTTGTATTTGTTCACTAATATTTTGTTTAAACGAATGTGGAAATACCTGTCATGAATATTGTATGATGCGGTATTATGCTGTTTGTTTAGTGCTGTTTATTTCAGGATAGCTACAAGTGTCATCAATTTTTGTCTGCATTGTGTTGACTAATAAATTTTCTGCTAATAATTATGCATAGGTGATTTTAAATTATTTAGTTGGTATAAAGCACATTCATTATGTGCTTTTAGGGAATAATGACAAACGGGTGAGTAAGTGATGATGAACTAAATCAGTTGAAATGCAGGGCCTAGCCACTTAAAAAGCAAAACATTACTGTATGGCCTAAATGTGAGCATATGTACACATGGATGTAAGTGACTTGCACTGAATGAAAGATTCCATAGGTAGAAGATCAAATGACAGGGAAAATATGTAATTATGTATATATAATAACCATCAGGAGAAACGTCTTCTAACAGCATATTGCCTAGCAGTTTGGTTATCCTATTTTCTCTATAAAGCCAGAAAGCTAAAACAAAAGAAACGGGCTCATATAGTACTGTTTTGAATGAGTGGATTTCAGGGCCACTGAGAAGATTCCTTCCTCCCCCTTTTAAAAACATATCTTCAGGCCAAACAAGTGATAAAATCAGTAGTTAAAAATATTTTTTTTTCTCTTCACAGTGTGACTTTGGCAATATATTACAACATAAAGCACAGGTGAGCTCTTTGAAAACCTCCCTTGTTACTCCAGCTCATCACTTTGTATAATATGACACACACTGTTAGGTGTTAACTATAGACATAAGCTGTAGAGTGCATATTTCACAGTGTGAAAGTGAGTCATCTGTGGACTGGTCTGTAAGATACTGTTCACTGTGAAATTATTGAGGGTCCCACAGTGTATTTGCTTATGTCTTGTTTGAAATTTATTGTAAAGATACAATAAAAAGATGACCTAGCCTCATGCAAATATATAGTACAAAAAAAGGTGTGTTTTTAAAGCTTTCAGGTAATTGTGGGTATTCTTTAACCACACCAAAACTCCACAAGCACTGAATAAAATAGTTATAATGGGATTATATATATCAATGAATTCATTCCACTAACACTCACTGATCTTTCTTGTACACTGAATGGATCTTTCCCCTTACCGCCTTTTATAATATTATGCATTAGCTATTTGGAAAATATTAATTCATGTTCATTTATAGTGTCAAAAACTCACTTTCATTAGTATCACCATGATTATAAAAATGTCTTCAAATATTGAGATGCTGCCAAGCTCACAGTTTGTAGGTATGAGTTTTCCAAGTCCTGATTTTTAACTTGAAAGCTTTAGATATATTATAGACAACAAATACTTGTTATTTTTCCTTGAAATGACAGACTCACTTGGCTTCTTTTAGAGAATGGCAGTCAATCATACTTTCAGATAGAAATGGTGCTCTGTGAAAAACTGGCTTGTTCAGCTCACAGTTAAATCACAAGTGCTTTCCTTTAACATGACCATACTTCAGTATGCAGAAGTGCTTTACGTGAACTTATTTCTTAGGATACTAAAAAGAGAGGTCAGGATTTAATAACACCATTAATTTTTACTGTTTCATCAAGGACATTCTTTAGTGAAGCAGGCTATTTTAATTAACAAAAACTGCAAGGGGCAGTGAAGAGTGGAATGAATACTAGTATAATTCGGTACCACGGCCCATATTCTTACTGAGAAGCCAGCAGTTTTACCCACTTTTGCTTTTATGCAACCATTACAAGTGTTGAACAGTGAGATAGCAAGCGATTTCTTAATACTTTTAGAAAGTAACAAATTATTCTTATGTTCTATTTTCAATCAGCTTCTCAGGTTGAATTGGTATCCTTATAAGAACCTTTTGGGCCATAGGTGGACACATGTAATCCCAGCACTTTGGGAGGCCAAGGTGGGAGAATTACTTGGGACCAGGAGTTTGAGACTAGCCTGAGTAATGTGACAAGACCCCATCTATACCAAAAAAGAATTAAAAATCAGCTGGGCATGATGGTGTGCACATTTCATCCCAGCTACTTGGGAGGCTGAGGCAGGAGGATCGCTTGAGCCCAGGGAGTCAAGCCTCCAGTGAGCCATGTTTGTACCACTGTTTTCCATCATGGATGAAAGAGCAAAACCGTGTCTCACCAAAAAAAAAAAAAAAAAAAAAGTTTTGACCTCATGGGCCTCCTAAGGAATCTCAGGGTCCACAAAGCACATTTGGAGAACCGCTGGTTTCCTAAGTGAGCACACAATGTGTTAGTTTTTTAAAGTTCATTAAAGACTGGCCTCTTTTAAAATACAAAGGCAATTAATTCTGTAATTCAAACTACTTAAACAAATATGATAAAAGTATAATAAAGGAAGATTTGGGAAATCTGAATCTCATTCACATTTATTAAAAGTTCTAAAAACTTTATTGCCAACCACTACTGCTTTATAAAATGTTCTTGTGTTCCAGCATGAGGTTAGAGGAGTGAAAATAGATGTAGTTTATTACCATCGCCTGTTAGTGGGGGTCGATATTTAAAGGCAAATCTGGTTCATCAATGTAGAAAAGATTCACAGTTCAGGACATTATGTGCTGAAGAAAAAGAGGTCAAGAAACCCTCTGAAGGCCAGGATCCAGGAGAAAAAATTGCAAAAACTGTTTTGGTGAACGAATGTTACCAAAGCAAACATGAGGTATCTCTCTCCACCCCCCATGCCCTACTCCCAGCAGATAGTTTACTAAGATATTAACAATTCCTGAATTAATTTCTTAAATGCACATTCTTATTTTATAGATATGCAAATAGATCTCTGGCTATTTTTGAAGAGCCAATACATCCACTTTCAGTAAGTGTCGCTTTCTTTGAGGTTCTACTTTTGTCTCATAGAACTGTATTTAGTTCATGCTGAAGTCAATATCACCCACCTTTAAGTCTTGCCTCTTTGTGTCTAATCATCTGACATAAGGAGTGTTGTTAAGTGGGCATGCTGGAGTAGGAGCTGACTTGCAGGTTTGTTTAATTAGTGCACTGAGGGGAGTAAATATACCATCCAACTAACAAAATGTGTCATTTAAAAAAATAATTTTCTATAGCAGCAAATAATATAAATATTTGTAAATAGTCCTCACAAATATGCACAATCTCTGTGAATAGAATTAGAAAACAACTAAGTTCAATTCAGTTTAAATGCTATAAAAATTTTTTTTAATTCCTTCTTCAGATACATAGTAGCCACAGGGCCACCCTCAGGCCTATGTTTGCTGAAAACCAAAAATATTTTAAGACCCCACTATTTATATTTTTTAAATTAAAAGACATTTTATCCTATCAAAATTGTTGTGAAGGACACATGGGCCCAAATGTGAACACTGCCATCTTAAGAGCTCTTAAAATGCTTTCTTGAGTGGATATTTATATTGCCTTTTTTTCTTCTTTCAGCAAGAGAAGTTTCCAGGGAAATCGTTTGAGGATGATCCCAAACGCGACTGTATTTTCAGATATTTCTGTACTCTTTTTCAAATCATAAAACTAACAGCTCCGTGTGCAATCGTAGCTTTGGTAAGGTATTTCTTATCTGTAAAGCATCTTTAAGAACTGGCCTACTACGCAGCATATGGCCATGTTTCTAACCAAAAGTAGAGTCCTGAAATTATCATCAGATCTTTTAAGAGAAACCTGTGCAAGCAGCTAAGCACACATATGTGAGTTTAATCATCATTATGGTTTAAAATGATGCCATTGCTTTTCTTATCACAGAATAATTGCTATTAAAGGCAGCAGGAGAGATTTCTGGTTTCTCCTTGAACAGATTCCAGTGTAGGTCTAAGCTGAGTCCCAGGCCATATTCCCAGGGCACTTCTGTTGTACCCTGTGACTGGGAGCTGCTGCTCTGAATGCTTCCTTCTTCCTGCTGATCTCTTGTGCCTGCTCCGGAAATTGCCCAATAGTGTGCTACCAGTTAATACTTGGACATGGGATTTGCTAGTGAGCTGCTAAGCTATAGCAGTGTCCTCACCTCTACATCGTTCTGACAGAATTCCTGCGGTGAGACTCACTCTGAATATGAAGTTCTCTTCAGATGGCTGGGATTGGTTTACCCCTCCCCACACTAACCTGTAGAGGAATGTCAACCACGCAGCCAGGAGAGAAAAGATACTTAGAGCAGTACCCTCTCCTTTAGCATCTGGCTAGAGCTTAGAAGAGAAGGCTTTTGCTGGACACCTGCATGGAAACCCCTCCGTGGGCAGTGGATCAGAGGCAGGCCTTTCCATCGAGCTGCAGGCCCTTTGGAATGCTCAGCACATGCTGGTGGGAAGCAGGAGTGGAACTTCCAGCTGGAGAGAGAGAGAGAGCTGATGCAGGAGGGAAAGCTGGATTGGAAGAAGGGGGAGTTCCCTGTAGACAGGCTAAATTTGGTGTGCCTGTAAGATAACAGAGTGGCCGTGTGCAGTCAATATTTGGATCTAGGGGACTTGAGCATGAATCTGAACTGGAAATAAGGAATGAGGAGTAACAGTACCTGCTCAACACTGAGCACAGTGGCTCACACCTGTAATCCCAGCACTTTGGGAGGCTGAAGCAGGCTGATCATGTGAGGTCAGGAGTTCGAGAGCAGCCTGACCAACATGGTGAAACCCTGTCTCTACTAAAAAATACAAAAAAATAGGTGTGGTGGAGGGTGCCTGTAATCCCAGCTATTCAGGAGGCTGAGCAGGGTGGGAACAGGAGAATCACTTGAACCCGGGAGGTGGAGGTTGCAGTAAGCTGAGATCATGCCACTGCACTCCAGCCTGGCCAATGACAGTGAAACTGTCTCAAAAAAAGAGAGAGTAGCTGCTCAAATGCAGAGAAAGTGTTTAGAATGAAAGTGGAGAAGCCGGGCATGGTGGGACACACCTAAAGTCCCATCTACTTGGGAGGCTGGGGCAAGAGAATCACTTGAGATTAGGAGTTTATGTCCAGCTTGGGCAGCGTAGCAAGTCCACATATCTAAGAAGTAAAAAAAAAGAAGGTGGACAGAAGATAGCTCTGTAAGGACTACCAGCATGTAAGGGACAAGCCCCCAGTAAAGTGGCTAGAGGGGGAGGAGGAAGAACAGGAGAGAATAATAAAAGAAGAACAAAGGGTTCAAGATAGGAAAGGCTGTGGTCACAGTGCTAAATGCTGCCAAGAAGTTGTCTGTTCCATAAACATGCCCTGGATGCCGACCCTGTGCCACTCTTCTAAGTGCTGGAGTGGAGAAGATGACAGGTTGAAAACGGTCCTTGTCTTTATGAGCTTATGTTGTAATGAGGAAAGCATTTTTTTCAGGTAAAAGAGATAAAGAGAGAGGGATAGGAGGGGCTCACTAATTCAGAGAGAATGATCAGGAAGAGCCTCTGTAGAGGGTCACATTTGAACAATGACATGACTATAAAGCGAGGATGATAAGGAGTTCTGGCATGACAGGCAGTGGGATGAGAGGGAAGACTGAGACAGGAACACATTTCATGTGTGTTCAAGGAACAAACAGCAGGGGCCCGCAAGGTGGGAGGAATGAAGGAAAGAACGGAAGAGGTGATGCCTCACAAGCAGTGCCTCAGCTCACAGAGCCCTTTGGCTTGCAGGCCATGGGAAGAAGTTCAGGTTTTATTCCAGTTTGATGAGGGGACTCATAGTAGATCTTGAGCAGCGGAGTGCAGTGTTCTTAATTTAAGAGGTTATGGTGAGTGCTTTGGGGAGAGTAGACCACAGTTGGGAGGAAGGTTGGGGCGGTGAAGAGGACCAAGAAACAATTAGAGTGATATAGGTGAGCTGTGACCCGTGGCAGCTCAGAATCTGAAGCAGGCAGCCTACCGGTGAAGGTGGGCACAGAGTGTTTGCACACAGATTGGAACAGGGTAACTCACATGTAAATATTAGTCCCCAGGAGCTAGGCCAATGATAATTCCCTGGACAAGATGAGGGCCAGCTTGGGGAGTGGAGCCTTGGGGTGAAGGGCTCTGGTTTGTAGGTGTCAAAACTCTGAGGACCTTGGTAAGAGGAGTCTCAGGAGAGTGATGGGGGTGGGTGAGGTGGGTTAAGGAGAGATGGGAGGTGAGGAGCTGGCAACAGGGCCTGATGCTGTGAGCAAATGAGAGGATGCCTCTGGGGAGCTGCGGGGAGCAGGATGGGAACAGGAAACACATTTGTATTGGGGGAAATCTCTGGCAGAGAGGGAGAAAGTCTTCAAGAAGAGATGATTTGGGGCAACAGTGTTCTGCAAAATTGGGATGGGATCCACCATGCTGATAGAAGAGTTGGTGTTAAAAAAGGAATTTTCTCACTGATCCAGGAGGACAAGTGGTATCGGTGAATGTCAGCAGGTCCAGCTTACCAGTAAAGGTGACAGGAAGTTGAGGGCTCGCCAATGCTGTTTAAGTGCTCTCTAATGAGTGCTGTGGAGTTGAACCCTGGGAGGGAGGGTCATTCCTGGGATACTCGATAGTGCAGAGTTAGGGGGAAGGAGAGCAGAATAAGAACATATCGTGTTCACCAGCCATTTGATTTTGAAAACACAGTTGAGTTCGGAGAACTTTGCCAGATCTGGGCCGCCAATCTGATAACGTTCAGACAAGAAATGAACTCTCTTAAAATGAACTGTTTTCCTTTGGTCTTGATACAAAGACGTCAAGTAGTATGGAGACATACTGTTCTGCAGAGCACCCTCTGGGATAGGAACGCCTCCCAGCTCACCTCTGTCACCTTCACTCAGCTGGTCCCTCACCCAGTTCTTTATAGGATAGAGATTGGATAGATAGAAAATACTTCCTGAGATTGTCTCACAAACTGCTTGCAGGTTTAGAGGAACTCCAGGGATACAGAGGCCAACAACTGTCTCTGCCTTCAAACCAACCAAATTGACTGAATGCAGATACTATAGGACAAGCAATGAGTTTTCATGAAGTGATTGTGGAGACGTGGAAAATAGAGGCTGGAGCAGGACCCTCCTTTCATATACATGTGTTCCTTATCAAGGCACTGAATATGGAGACTATTTCTCAGCCACAGAGACCTGCACTTGTAATGCTGTCTGCACGGCAGGCATTGAGGCATTGGGAAATGCTCTTGACAATAATTCCTTACCCCGTGTCCCAAGAGTGGGTTAGTTATTGTGAAAAGGAGAAGACAGCAGTGTCCTCAGTATCACTTGGGTGTTACACATTCAAGCATGGCACACCTGTAAAATTCCTATCTACCTGCCAGCCACGTGTGACCCAGCACACGGACGGCGCTGGAGCGTTTCCTGAACAACCTTAATCTGCACTGGGCCTGAGTTTGTGCTGCCTTTCATGAGTGTGAAGGTGCTGATGGTGCCTCTCTTCATGCCCAGGAATGTCCAGTCATCCCTGTGACCAAAATTGGGCTGGAAATGTCTATGGGCAGAGTCGGCTGCAGAGGTATCTGACTATGACTGGGATTTGACCTCTTACTTTGAGCAAAGTCTCTGCAGAACATAAGAATAAAAGACACTTACTTTCTGGTCAAAACCAGAAGAAATCTTTCATTCTTAAATGTTCTTATCACCACGCTTACACTGAACTGAAATCAAAGACCAGCGCTCTATTTTGCAGGTGTACATTGAACGACTTTTAACTAGTGCTAACATCGATCTTTGTCCTACTAATTGGAAAAAGATTGTCCTCGGAGCCATGCGTCTTGCCTCCAAGGTTTGGAGAAACCGTGGTCTGTGGAGTGAGGATGACAGCCAGAATCCCCAGGACGTTGCAGTTGAGAACATGTGAGTTTGTCAGATTTTGGTGATCTTTGTAACCATTTTCCATGCCTCATTTGTTCTCCAAGTTAACACTCTAAGAAATATCTTTATCGGTTTCATTGTGCAGATAAAGGAAATTGGCATAAGACCACAGACTTCTCTCTATCCAGCGTTAGTGTAACAGTTTGTATTTTCCAGCATTAATGGGTAGGTCTTGATGTGTTATTGTTGTAATAACCTGCTTGATAAACTGAAAAGTATTTTTCTGGTTGTTTTTTGGCAAACCTCTTACAAGTGTACTATCAGAATGATAAGGTAGAGTAAATATCTTTATAGCTTTTGAGAAGCTGCCTGCTAGTTTCAGTCCCTTTTTAAGGGGAAAACATCTGGCCGTTGAAATAATTGGCCACTGTTAAGATCATAAGGCCTCTGGACTATGGGGAAGTTATGGCTTCAACTTCAATCACCCATTGGGTATTTGCTTTTGCTGGTCCTTTCCTCCCCCTTTTATCTGAAGATCTATTTTCATAGGATCTTTGAGATATGAAGTTAAATAGCCACAGATTCCTGTGCCCTGGCCCCTACCCATTGAGAGTGTTACATGTGTTTTGAAATTGATCTGATGAGTTAGAAGCTCCAGCGTTCGCCACGCAGCTTGAGAAGCATTCTGGGGCATCACCACATGCCCACCACACTCTCAAGTCTCCATGGGTACTCAGACATCTGCAGCAGCACTCTTTGGGCCTGGAATTGCCCATGACCATGTGAGGAGCCTTGCAGAGTCATGGGGTTCCTCCCAGATGCACCAACATGACACTGAAACACAGCTTCACCAGGGTTTCCTTCCAATCCGGCCTCATGACTGCTGTGAAGGGAGGGGCCCTGGAGCTGGGAGGCAGGGTGAGCAGGGAGGCATTTCCAGCAGAGCCTTCGTGGATGCCCACTAAACAGTGAGGACAGCTGTGTGGGCTGCATCTGTGCAAGACAAGGGAGCAGTTTTGTTTACATTGAGCAGCAGCAGCAGATCAAGATCATGCCAGGCATTGGCACGAGTTAGTATTATGACTTTTACTTATGACTCCAGATAAGACTGTCATTCACAGTCACCTCAGTGTACATCTATAATTGAAGACGTAGTGTCTATTGTAGATATACCTCAGGGTATATCTGTGTTTAAAAATCACCCCTTTGCGGCTGAGCTCAGTGGCTCATGCCTGTAATCCCAGCACTTCAGGAGGCTGAGGTGAGTGGATCGCTTGAGCTCAGGAGTTAAAGTCCTGCTGGGTGACACAGTGAACCCTGTCTGTACCAAATGTTTTTTAAAAAATTAGCTGGGCATGGCGGCAGGCTCCTGTAGTAGTCCCAGCTACTGGGGAGTCTGAGGTCGGAGAATTGCCTGAGCCTGGGAAGTTGAGGCTGTAGTGAACTATGATCACATCACGGCACTCCAGCCCTGGGTGAAGGAGCCAGACCTTGTCTCAAAAAGAAAAACAAAAAACCATTTTTGCCACCACTTTGCTAATAGCGTAAACCAAGTAATCATGGTGATATTTCTGATAGCCATTTTAACAAAGAGTGTGACAGCAAATGAATTTGAAACAAACGGAAGTACTTTGGAAGTTCCAAATGCTAAAGTGGCTTTGATCATAGTCATCCTTTTGTAAACTGGTTCCTTCAAGAAAGCAAGATTTGTGACTGCCTGAGTTCTCCTTGCCTGCTGCCTAGCCAGAGCTGATTGATTAAGACAGGGGAATTGCAATAGAGTTTAATTCACACAGAGGCAGCTGTATGGGAGTCCAGCGTTCTACCATTACTCAAATTAGTCTCCCAGAAACTCAGTGATGTTTTGTTAAAGAATAATTTGGTGGGTAGGGGGTCAGAAAGAGGGGAATGCCGATTGGTCATATCAGAGATGGAATCAGAGGGAGTTGAAGCTGTCCTCCCGCACTGAGTCGGCTCCTGGGTGGGGGCCACAAAACCAGATAAGCGAAGTTTATTGATTGAGGTGGTGCCACCTGATCCCAGTGCAGGGTCTGCAAAATATCCCAAGCACTGATCTTAGGTTTCACAATAGTGATGCTATTCCCAGGAGCAATATGGGGAGGTTCAAACTCTTGCAGGCTTCAGCCCATGACTCCTCAACCATAATTTCCAATCTTATGGCTAATTTGTTAGTTCTGGAAAGGCAGTCCAGTCCCCAGGCAGGAAGCAGGTTTGTTTTGGGAAAGGGCTGTTACCATCTTTGTTTCCAAGCTAAACTATAAACTATGTTTCTCCTGAAGTTAGTTTGGCCTCTGCCTAGGAATGAACAAGGACAGCTTGGAGGTTAGAAGCAAGATAAAGTCAGTTAGATCAGCTCTCTTTCACGGTCATGATTTTCTCAGTTACAATTTTTGCAAAGGTGGTTTCAAATTTGTAATCACGAACAGCTGAATTGTTCTCAAAACCTGCACCTCAGCTGGCTGGGGCTCTGAGTTCTAGTCACAGGATCAGAGCGCATGCAGGGATCTGTGCAGGTTTCCACAGAAGTGAGCTCCAGGAGCAGTGGGGGCAGAGCCCAGCTCCAAGAAGACCAGTTCCAAACAGTGCTGTTGCTGTGTGAACGGAGAAACACCAGGAGCTATGCTCCGAACAGGCTGCTTCTGTTTATGATCTTGGGAAGTTGAAAAGCATATGTCAAAGCATTTCATAGACATTTGTCTCAGCCCCCTGCTGTTGACTGTTTGCAATGGTCCCATTTTGAGTGTAAATTGAATAGTTACAAGTTGGTATCTATCAGATTTTTTTAAATTTTCCAACATCTATATGTCTTCCTGGAATATCTTTCCTTTCTAAGGAGTAAATTAAACTGAGTAGCCACTATTCAGAAAATTTGCTGCGTCTGTAAAGGTTATGCTCTTCAATCATCTAGCCATTATAAAAAACCACAGAGCCCAGAAGATGCATATTCTATATACAGAATGCTTTTCTTCAGTGAGTAAACTTCTATTAATAGGCATATTAATTCTGTGAAGTACTGTATTTCTACACAGTTACAGTGTACTAGTGGAGAATATAAAAAGGGATTATGAAGTGCTATTAATTCCTATAATAAGTCAGGTACTGATCAGCTGTCTATTCAAATATCATTTGATTTACATTTCTATAGACTTATGGACATGTGAACAGGAAATTAATTTTGGAAGTAGGTTCAGCTGGGTTTTAAGTTCAACAAATGAGATCACCACATCTTGACTCATGGTCTAACTGTCCCCCTTACAGGAAAACATCAAGCATTTGTTGACTTAGCCAGTGGGTAAAATATCAAAGCTTTCAAACCAAGAAACCAAATGTATTGTTCAGATACTGATCATTTTTAAACAATTAACTCATCACACGGGTTACTCTGAAAGCAGCCAGATTTACTCTGTGTACCTATTAATTTAGCCTTGGTGAGGATGGCTGGATGACCATATGGCAGAGGACGGCTCCCAGCCCTTTCCTCTCCCAGTACATTCAACTTCCCCACAACCCATTCTGGCCAGGGGTGACAGATGCTGAGCACTTCAGGGTTGCATTCCCAACTCAGGAGCAACACTGCGTGTACAAGGCCAGGGCCCTCCTAGAAATCACATCATAAAATGGGTTTAGTCTAGAAAAATATCTCTTCTTGATTTTTCTGCCTTTCAAACTTTGAAGATTAAAGATTATCCTTGCCCCGTCATAGTGGCAGTTTCACCTCTTCATAGTACTAAGATGAGCAGAATCTTGCATTATGCCCCCTTGACATAGCCTTGTGTGCTGGAGCAGAGGGAAGGGGATTCTTGTTGCCATGGAATGTAGCTTGCTTATGTATTTATTTGGGATGAATCCTCCCTGTAGCCTTAGATTTTTTCCCCCTCTGAAATAATAGGCTGGTTCTCCATGGGTCCATTGTGGCCATGGAGATGCGCCCAGTCCTCTTTTGGTCTTCTCTTCTTCAGTAAGCCCTTCCTGTTGTCTCCTGGTAAAAATGCTGGAGGTCCTTCAGAGCTGATAAATGGCACCCGTCATTCCTGTCATGGGATTGCTATTGCGGGGCTTGTAATTGAGCACGGAGTTTGAGTTGTGCAGCTGCCCTAAGGGAACTCTGAAGAATGAGCCCCGAGTCAGCAGCATGAATGCAGAAGAGGCTTCCACCTTTCCCTCATCCCAAACTTGGGGTGCTGGGAGGCAGAAGAGACCCCAAGCAGCTGTGTCTTGCTTGGACATTAGTGTGGGAACCCAACCAGGCAGCCTTTGTTTGTTTCAAAACAGAATTTAGAGCATCCCAGTAGCTCAGAAGGATATTTTTAAAGATAACCCGCTTGACTAGAACTGTCCTATGTTGGTTTAATCGTGTTTCTTCTACCCCAGGAGCAAGATGGAGAAGTGTTTTTTGGAGCTACTTGAGTTTAATATTCATGTGTCTGCCAGTGTTTATGTAAAATATTACTTTGACCTGCGTGCCTTGGCAAATGACCATGACGTGTATTTTCTATTTCATTTTCTTCACAAAGATAAAGCCCAGAGACTGGAGGTAAGGATGTGAAGTCACTTAGCAGAGTTTACCGTCGGCCACAGAAGCCAGCATCTGTGACAAAATCATATTAAGTAGCGATTAGGAAAATGAAAGCCTTAAAATTAACAGACCAAAAAACTAGTTCTTTGGCAACATATTTCTTTCCTTTTATGGTTTATACAAGGATCCATATTCTTTTATTTATTTATTTATTTATTTATTTATTTATTTATTTATTGAGACAGAGTTTCACTCTTGTTGCCCAAGCTGGAGTGCAATGGTGAGATCTCAGCTCACTGCAGCCTCCGCCTCCCAGGTTCAAGTGATTCTCTTGCCTCATCCTCCTGAGTAGCTGGGGTTACAGGCATGCGCCACCACCAGCTAGTTTTGTGTTTTTAGTAGAGACAGGGTTTCTCCATGTTGGTCAGGCTGGTCTCTAACTCCTGACCTCAGGTGATTCACCCACATCAGTCTCCCAAAGTGCTGGGAATACAGGCATGAGCCACCATGCCTTGTCAAGGATCCATATTCTTAAAAATTGATTGATATTCGTTCTGCTGTGACCATATTGTTAATTAAATTTAGTCTGTTCTTAATGGGTTTTATTTTTAACCTCTACCCATTCACATAATAATATGTGAATAAATGCAATTGTATTCCTAATTATATCTACATACACAGTACACTTACCACTCTTGACTGTCTTTTACTTATGCAGTTTGCAAATTCATGTTATCTATCATCTACTGTATATAACACAGTACAGTCCCATGAGTTTATTAGACGAAACAGAAGTGGCTGAGAGACTTGTACTTAGACTGTATAAGGTGCCAGTGTTTCAAATACTGGGTCGAAAGGACATGGGTTTTTAATGAAAATGGTAACTTTCATGGGGCAACGTATGATTTATGGCTTATGACTCTTGGTGAGTATACAGGAAAATTACCACTGAAATCGACACATTTAAAATTGCCACTTTCTCTGGTATCTTGGTGGTATTTTAGAATAATACACTTTTCTATCACAATGTGCAAGTAAAGTAGCACCTTTTGGTGTTCCACTCATGAGACTTCTTAGATGTTCCAAGACAGCCCAGAGCACACCTGCCTCATTAAAATTTGCTTTGAGTATTTGGTAACTAATCAGGATTGGGTAGAATTTGAATCGCTGAGTAAATGGAGGTTTTGGCACAAGTGCATGTTTATTATGTCGAAGGAACAAGTGCACAGGTAACAGATGATACAGTTGTTAGGTGCTTGTCACAATACTCTTGAAATCTTTGGGAGTCCTATTTTATTTTTATGTGACTGTATCATCAAGCAATGAGCCCAATTTTAAAGTAACTTAATAAAATAAATTCCTCTTGGTTCTGGCAATCTATTCGTAGCCCTTAAAGGAGATCACCTTAGTGAATGGGAAGGGAGTAGCATCCTCAGGACCTGGCAGTGTCCTTCAGTGTCCTCAGAACCTCAGCCAAAGCAACTGTGAAGAAGCATCTAAAGAAATATGTATGTGTGGCTTCTCATCAGCAATGCCTTTTGAAAAACGTTGGAACCCTTTTTAAAATTGTACCTGTTTTCCCTTTGAATGACTTTCCTAGGCTATGTCACGGCCGTGTGAATACAAAGACTTACATCAAGATGCCGCTGCTATGAAAAGGGCGATCAGCATGAATTTCATTGGTATTCGGTGCTCTAATGCCATCTTATCTTAAAGAGAGAAATTAGCCTTATAAGATCCTGAACTTCTCAACTATAAAGACAAGAAAATACTTGTCCTGCTGAAACAAAAATTAGGATTTTCTTTTTTCCTTCTTGTTTTTTTGTTGTTATTGTTAGTGTTTAGGATTTTCATCAAGAGGAAACATCTCTCAGTTACCACACTGTGGATGGGTTATGGTGGTATGAACAGTGGGTGCCAGGTGCTTCCTGCCCTTCCTCTTCCACTGGTTCCAGATGGCATTCCTAGGGTACCACCTTCCTGAACAACTCTTGGGGAGGAAGAGTGTCACATGGACACAGCACATCCCAGCTCAGAGTCTACAGTCACCCACAGTCCCAAGCAAGTGTCAGTGGCATCCACAGTCACCCACAGTCTCAAGCAGGTGTCAGTGGTCTGAGCTGAGCTGGAGCTCAAAAAACTTTAGAACTGGCTCCACATTTGTGAGAGTACCTGAGTTTGGTTCTCTGTCCACTGAGGCACTGAATGCATGAGGGCCCAAAAGTCAACAAGGTGGGAAAAGAGAGTGGCATCGGGGCAAGGCTGTCATTACTCCAAGCACCAGGGTAGCTCAGGCCTGCTCATCTAGTCTTTGGAGGGAATCTGTGTGTGTGAAATGAGGCCCCCATATCATGGTTATAAAAGAAGAGATGAAATCAGCTCATCTTCCCCCAGGCCGATAATGGTCACACCACCTAGGGAAGCAGCAGAAGACCAGGCCTTGGGATTGTTAGGGGAGCTACGGAAGTGAAAACTGAATTTACCCAGTTCCAGGAAAACAAAGGAGGAACATCTGGCTTCCAGATGTTATCGGAAGATCATTTTCCCAGCTAATCTTGCCCTGGTGCATTGTATGGTCTCAAAACAAAAGCCCCTCAATAATTCTAACACAGGGAAACACCACAACTCACATTTTCCAGTGCACCGCAGTGGTTCAAGAGATTGCTGCTGCTGCCTGCATCTGTCAGTCTGTTCACATGTGGAAAGGAGCAGCGGTTCTCGTGGGAGTGGCTTCTGCATCCTGAGGAAGCTTGCTCAGACATTGGTTGTAATAACTGGTGGCACCCACTGACGTGCAGTCCACAATGGGAATCCTGTGGTGCACAGGACTGCCCCCCTTTTCAATCAAGAAAGAATTTTCTGTCTTCAAAAATAGAAAGTGCTGAGGGTCAAGTGCCTCAGAGACTACAAGGGAAACACTTTCTGAGACTAATTTTTTTTCTTACAAGAACACCAGATCCCCACCAATGTGAGATGTTAGATCAAGTTTTAGTGCAAGGGTAGATGTTGGGGGCAGAAATCTAAGATGCCCCATGATCCCTGCTGTCTTTTATTACACCCTGAATCCTCCATCGTTCCTTAGGTATGGCCAGACCCGTGCTTTGTTCTAGACATTTGAATATGGCAAAGTGAGGGAGTGGCTCTCTGGGAGTTACCTCTTCTTTCCTTTTATCGGGAACAATAGGAATCCCTATTTTCTTTCTTGTGTTTACTTTCACAGTGCAGTGGTTTGGAATATCCCACTATCGATTTGTGACTTCCTCTTCCAACCATAATCTATGGCCCTTTATATGTAGTTGAATATTTTCTTGTATTGACATTTTGTGTCTGAAGATGAAATATTAGACTAAACCTGTGAAAACACTTCATGCAAAGCCTTCAGTGATTGTAGAGTCTACTCTTTGGTGAATACACAAATTGATCTGTTAAAAATTGTATTAGATGTGATAATGATATTTTCTTTTTTATCTTCACCTGTTAGATATACTTACTTTAATTCTTCCAAAATTAATGATATGATTTAAAATACTGCTAGGATATTTGGAGTTGATAGTTGAAAATAAATGGCAAAATAAGAATTACTGAAGCCTGGTGATAATGTATTTAGGATGGGTTTATTATCTATTATCCCTATCATTAAATGTTTAAATTTCCATGCAAACCTATACATAAGAACTTGAAATTTTCTATAAAACCCTTCTTGCTCTGCACTTGAGCTCCAGCGCATAACAAATGAAAGGAAAATGGATTCTCCTTTGGGAAGTTTGGCTGGACTCTCCCTTTCTTTTCCCTGCAATGCAGGGAGAGCATTTTGAGGTCACCATGGGGTGAGGTGGCCATGAGTGGGGGTCCTGGAGATGGCGGCCTTGAGGAGTGCGTGTGTGGACACGGGTTTGGTGGCCACGATTCTCCCTTGGGTCTTTCTGGCTGTGGTGGCTGTGAGGACGGTGTCTGGGGATCCTCTCCAGGGGAGTTCTCCGCTTGTGCGGTCTCCCTGTGGAGAGGGCCCGAGGATGTCTGGGGAGGGATTCATAGGGTCGCCCCTGTGTGACCCGCCCTGTGCGGGTCTCCAGGAAAGCATGTTTTTAGGGGTAGTTGCAGGAAGCCATGGCCTGAGTGGAGGGTGGGGCCTGGTCTCCCCTGTAGGGTGGGCGGGATGTCTGAGGGAGTGCTGGAGGGTTATCCTCTGCGTCGGGGTCGCTGTGCAGGGTCTCAGCACAGTCCTTGACCTGGGGAAGTCATTGAGGAGACTCCGAGGTGGCTGGGGCCGGGAAGGGGGCAGCCTGGGCGGTCTCCGTGGTGTGTCAGCGTCGCTGATGCCAGGAGACAGGTATGGGAGGAGTCTTTGGAGGGGAATAATTGTGGAATCCCCACGTTCTGGGCTGGGAAAACTCGAGGGTGCTCTAAGGCCGGAGGCCAATGCGGGGTGCCCAGGAATAACCTAGTGGGGCTCGCGGGGGAATAACGGGTCCCCCGAAGGGTAAAGGGTGGAAGGAAGGGACCTCAGCAGGTCAGGTCTTGCAGGGCCCTTCTGTAGGGCTTCTGGGAGACAGATGCTTGGAGCTCCTGAGGTCGCCCCTACCCGGGGCCGGGTATTCTCCTGGCGCCAGACCTTCCTGGGTCCCGGAGGACGGAAATGAAACCGGCTCCCTGCTCTCCACCGCCATGCTCCACTCGGCCAGGAGGCCTGGGCTCCCGCCTGCCTCACCTGGAGCTTGGCAAATGCAGTTTGGGGGAGTCTCGGGACTCCTGGGTGGGGAAGCTCCTAGAGCCTTGGGGATAGCGGGGCCACCCCTTTAGGGCCTGCAGCAGGAAGGGACAGAGCTAGTGGCACACCTCTGCATCCTTTTATTTCGGAATTGGAATTGGGTTTTCTTGGCCGACAGTGCAGAGCGGAGGGTGGGATGGGCGTCCCCCTCCTCCTTCTCTGCCAAGCGCAGTTTCCGCGCAGATCCGAGCCCCTGGGGCGCGACCGCGGGCTCCTGGGACTGTCAGGGACCATCCCTGTGAGGTCCCTGCGAGGGCCAAGCCAGCCCCACAGCTCTTGCGCGGGCCAACGAGGCCAACGAGGGCGCCCCGTGCAGAACACGGACCAGCAGCCCGAGCTCCCGAGGTGGACAATTTTGCTCCAGAACCAGCGGCGCCAGGTAGGGCTACAAACAGAGGGAATGCAGAGGGCTGGCCAAAAATTGAAGAAAAAACGAGGCAAATTATTGAATGTGATAGTCATGAAATGTGGGGTTTGGTGTTGGATTTGAGTGTTACATTGGGTTTCGAATGAATGACTAGATGCAGTTTTAGGACTGGCGGTAGACAACTGTAAAACTCCAGGCACCTGCGGAGAGGAGAGTCGTTGATAACCTTTCTGTGAGAAGGCTCTTTTGAGCTGTGTTTGATAAGAAATATGCCCAGCCCTATGAGTACAGCTTTCACATTGCTAACAATCTGCGAGTCAGAGTGGTCTTCAATAAATTACTATCATTTATTTTGCTTCTCTGACCTGGTTAAACGAATCACATGGTTCCTGCCCATTAATACCCCTGCATCGGTGTTAGCTTGCTGCCTCCCTTTTATTATGCTTTGAAATGGACAAGAAAGAGAAAGAGATTTCATTTTCACAATCTGTGACTGGGGTTTCTGAAAGTCTAAAACAACCTTAGTGTTGATTTTTTAAAACGCTTTACTGAGGTACATTTTATATAATATGATCACATATTTTAAGTACAACTCCAAGCTGTTTAGTATACTTATAGAGCCATGCGAGCTTAATTACCACCTAAGTTTAGAATATTTGTATCTTTTAAGAGGAAAATGCATCCTATTTGCATTCACCTTTGCTGTGTCAGATCTAGACAACAATCAATTTTATGTCTCTATAGATGAGCCTATTATCAGAGTTTCTAATAGCCAGGATCATGAATTATGTGGTCTTTTGGGTCTGGTTTCCTTCACTTAGCCTAATATTTTTGGGTTTCACTTCTGTTGTAGCTTGCATCATATCATTCTTCTTGGATGGCAAGTAGCGTTCTATTGCATGGACATAACCACATGTTATGAGCATTCATAGAGTCTTTGTATGATTATAGGAATTTCATTTGCTTTGCACACTTACTTTGGGTTAGAATTTCTGTGTCCCATAGTGATTTCATGTGCAACATTTTGAGGGATAGCCACAATTTCATTTCGTATTGTTTTGTTTTCAAGGTGGCAGAATATTTTATATTCCTATTTAGAGCATATGTGAGTTCCATGTTCTCCACTTCTTTTCTAACATTTGTCATTGTATCTTTGCTATAGCCTGTCTAGTGGGTCCCAATTAGTATTAATTGTGGTATGACTTGTATTTTTTTTAGCAATTCATGAAATAGAGCAAATTGGCAAATTGTGTATCTTCTATGGAAAATGTCTATTCAAATATTTTGTCCATTTTTAGTTGGTCAATAGTTGTTTCATTGTTGACTAATAAGAGTTTTTTATATACTCGACACACTAGCTTCTCTGGGTTTAGTTTTTAAGATTCCATATATAAATGAGATTATATATATGTATTAAAAATATTCTTTATAAACTCTAATATACCCAAATCACATATACAATTTAAAATATTTTCTCCCATTAAGCAGCATAGCTTTTCATCTTCTTTTTGATGTTCTAAGAACAAAAGTTTCCCATTCAATAAAGTGTAATTCATCTTTTTTAAAAAAAAATGTGTCTTTGGTATAATATCTTAGACATATTTATGTAATCCAAGAATACAAATATTAACTGTATGATTTCTCCAAAGAATTTTGTGTTTTACCTCTTACAT